CTGGATTATGAAGACCTCGACGTCTGAAGCGAAGCTAGGAATACAATCGACGTATCAAAATCAGTTAGAAGATTTGGACTTCACAGATGACCTGACCCTCCAATCCCATATGCACAAACAAATACAGATGAAGACAAGTAATGTAGCAGTAGCCTCTGCATCAATAGACTTCAACATACACAAAAGTAAAAGTAAGATTTTCAAATACAACAAGAACACCAACCCAGATGAAGAGGAAATTAGGAAAAGACGTTGGAAGTGGATAGGACATACATTGAGGAAATATCCAAACTGCATCATGAGGCAAACCCTAACTTGGAATCTTGAAAGGGAAGCGGAAAAGAGGAAGGTCGAAGAACACATTACGCCGGGAAATGGAAGCAGATATGAAAAGGATCAGTGTTAACTGGAAAGGTCTGGAAAGGATTGCTCCGGGCAGCATTGGATGGAGAGTGCTCGTGGTCGGCCTATGCTCTTTTATCAGGGGTAACAGATGTAAGTAAGTAAGTAAATATGCTAATTAATCGGAAAAAAATATAAATACTATATATATATATATATATATATATATATATATATATATATATATATATATATGATGCGCATTGTTGAGGAGTCCCATAATAAAACGAAACGGCTGTCAAGTGCTTCCAGGTTTTCTATGATGGTCTAGCTTTATTTAACTCATGAATTCAACTATAAAAATAAGTGTCTATTATGAGAAAATACAGTGTAAAACAACAATCTCAATATATAATTTTTTCAATTATGAGTATTTGAATTATTTAGTTCATTTAACTTAGCCCAATCGCATTTGAAATAGAGTTTTTAAAAAAATAATGACGTGTTTAATGTTGTACGATATCTCCTCTAATTTAAATTAGCTTCAAACTCTTCCTTGTTTGTGATCAGAATATTCACTCTTGATATTTCCACTTTATTCAATAAGGAACTATTAAACTATTACACATTTGTTACAATATGTTAAATGTATATTACATTATACGATCTCTCGTACACTTATTCACAATCAAATTAAAAGGTATACTTATGGAAATCAACTTTTTGAACGAATGATATTTTACAAAGTGTTTAGTAGTCAACCTAATATTTAATCCTAATTGTCACTGTATGAATCAAAAAGCATTTTAGAGCATGCTAAGTGAAATGAACGCTTTAACGATACGTCTTTTTTGTACAGATTGTTCCAGTATTTAACTAATTCACCCAACTATGAATACTGTTTTTAGCTGGTGTTGCCTTCATGGCTCTGATCGATGTTTAATATCACTATCAAGAACTCTGTAAACACTAAACAAAATACTAACAACAATAGTGTTATCAGGAGTTACCAACTTTTAGAGAATCTATGACTAATAAAGCTTAACCATGCAGTACACGATACAGGTATCACCAGTAGTAATGAATGATGACCAATTAATATTGCAAATTGATCAAAGTTTAAAATGTGAACCAACAGACGCCGATTCAGTAGCCCGAAAATTCCAGGTTAGACCTTCAGCCGAGTAATAGATGTCAACCTCTGAAGAGTCGTCAACTAGAACTAAACAACTATGCGGTGCTTCTATTTTCCAGTGGTTATTTAACTAATGTTAGTCAGTAATTTCTTCCGATATTTCACAGTTTTTAGAATCTCCATCTTAAAATACTCTTCCAACTTGATTGCGTTTATCGTGAAATAAAATCAAAATATTATAATCAATACAGAAGCTTTTTGTTACTCGTTAATCTTTCATCTTTTCATATTTTAAGCTAAATTAAGTTCGCTCTGAAGTTATGCAAGAATAACAACAACGAATAAACAGTTTTCGCAATATTTCACATGACAATTTATTGTTTTCAATCATCATACTTCCCACTAGAATAAAAACCGATTGATAACAAAAATAAATGGGAAATCGCTAACAAAAAGAAAATTGATCAGAAAGCCTAAATAAAGCAAGATAAAACTACATCTTAAACTTTTCTTGTTCACACTGTTAAAAATTCATTAAAGCAGTTGAATAGCTACATTTTTATCCGAACATTATTTCCACGTAAAACTGTTTACCAGTAAAGGAAATACTCTGTAAATGTTAAACTAAGTAGGTGTAACTATGATGTACATATTTCTTTCTATATTCATACAACATTATATGTTTACAAACGTTGTTTTTTCACAATTAAAAGTGTATAAAGAATGTAGTAAATACAATTGTGTATTTGAATAACATTTACACAACTATTGAAAGACTTTTGTAAATGACTTTGTTCCAATAATTTAGCTAAGACTTGTAAATAAAACTCGCTGTTACTATTTTAATATAAAGAATTTCTGTATAAACACTATATATATCTAAAGTGGAAAAAAATGTTAGGAGAGTATATATACGACAATATGCAAGTAAGGGGTGTGCTTTTGTGTTAACACTATGTTTTTGAAATTTGTGTGCCGTTGCACACACAGGCGAACTGGTAGATACAATCAGAATTAACGTAAGGGGGGAATTTTTATTCACATTACTGTTCTAATGAGCGGTTAGTTTTATGCAGAGAGATTAACTTGGCAGATGGATACTTATTATGGTGTCGTTGAGCACATTTCACAGAAGCTTAGACTGGGAGGACAGTACATTTCCAGAAGTGATATCGGACGCTATCAGCTTGACAGTGGCCATGATGTCGATGTCTCTAAGCCCTTCAAAATAAATAATTAATAAACAAAGAATGTCAAATTTACTACAGTTTGCCGAAGTAATTTCCATAAAAAGACAAACCAAATTTACGAATCTAGAAAAATTCAGTTGTCAATTTTGTCTTTGTTATGGTAAACGTATTCGTAAATGTTCGTTGCGCAATTCTTCTTTTCATGACACTAATTATTAATTCCTACTTCTTATCTGGTCTGTACTCAGTCATTTAATTTTCTTAAGTTACAAAACTATGACATTATTGTATTAATTTTAAATAATTATGCTCCTATGTTCTTGGTTGTTTATTCTAGAATATCCCTATATTCAACCTATAAATATTCCCTTTAATTAACATATGAACATTCCTTGTTGTTATTTCATACTTATTACTCTGTTTATTAATCTTCATTGATGATTACTCTACCGACGTTATGACATAAAGTATATATACTGATCTTTAAAGATTAATAACATTATGTTTAGGTTGCAAACGGTTGACAAAAATGTAAAATATAATAAATTCACCTTATTTTGCTATATTAACTCTTCTTGCTTTAGTCAAATAAATAATTGAGAAAACTGTAAGAAAAGAATTAAATAAATTTAACACGAGTATAAGAACTTTCAGAGGGGTTTTTATGGAGATATTAATAATTTTATATAGTTGAGATCATCAGTCAATTAAAGCTAGACCACCATAGGAAACCTGGAAGCGATTTCGTGGACTGGTTGAGGTTAGACATTAACACCGTTGGATGCCGGCTCGGTGATCTGTCGGTTAAGTGCTCTGGCGCGAGACTGGTAGGTCCTGGGTTGGAATCTCGCGAGACAAGGTCGTGGATGCGCACTGCTAAGGAGTCCCACAATAGGACGAAACGGGCGTTCAGTGTATCCAGGTTTTCCATGGTGGTCTAGCTTCAGTTGACTCATGATATTAACTATATATAAGAACTTTCAATCTATTTTATACAGAAGTTATACAATCAAGAAATATCATTGCTATATTACTTGCCCTACGTAATAAACGAATTCATTTCACTGAGTTCAATATAACCTAGTTTTTAAATTGAACATAAATGAACTCATTGATAAGGCATGTAAAGTCGATGTTAACAATTTTATGTTTAACCTGTTAACATATTATTATATATTCTTCTAGGGTCCATTATATACTTCTTACGAAATGTTTTATTTTAAGATGAATTTGTTGACAGTTTCAACTTCTGCATATAGTATAAATATCTATGATGATTTATATGTAAATTCTAAATACGAAAAACTATTATGATGAATTACCTTAATGTAATTAGGCTAATTACCAATACACTAGTTTATATATCAAAAATGAAAATGAAATAAGCTGGAAAATGTTTTTTATGATTTATACAAAAGTACTAAATAAATTTACAAATGCAAATCTTTATATCATAACATTACTTCATTGATTCAAGAATGATGTGAACATGTTTTAAAGATAAAAGGCAATACAGTAGGCATTTAGAAAGGATATATAAACTATCAACAGAATGGTTATGTAAGTATAGATGAACAATGTTTCACTACATGATCTATTGGTCTAATTTCTTTAACTAATACATTTTATTAGTATACAGTAATGTAATTTGTCCATAATTCTATTTTATTACCACATTTGAAACATTTTACATCATATATGAAAGTATCAAATGTTATTATAATTTTGTATTTCTGTAAAAGTCCGAAAATTTTTTGACAGCTTTTACATTCCAATATCTTTCAAATTATCTTTCTCTTTATGCACCTCTGGAAAATAAAGAACAAACAAATTAGATAATTGGCTGCTTTATAAAGAACTAGTTATTAATCGAAGAGTATTTACTACAATATGATCAAAGTTTCATAACCATGATTTAGATGTGAATACGTATTCTAAGTACTCATAATTTAATTTTAGAAATTATTTTTCAGATAATGAAAAACGTGTACAGAAAGCATTCACCATATAATACTACTGTTAAAAAAAAACATGGACTTAAGTAGACACTATTCTAACAATAAAATGAGCTTTTTTCAGATTGAAAAATGTTTTCCTTTTTTGTAAAAAAATAAATCACACTTTATAAATGTTCGTTAAGAACTGTGAATTTGTGAGATTAAACACTTTGAACAATGTTGTAAATAAAGGTATCCAAGTCCGGGTTACTTATGTAATCTTTATCATTGCTTCATTGTATATTAAATCAAAAAAGTATCTTATATTTATTTTAAAAAGTACACAGGTATTGTTAATGTGTTTTTAATTTTCTGTCATCATACTTTCTGTTGTAGACATGCAGTAAAATTATTGATCCATCCGAACAATATATGACATATAACGACAGAGCTTATCATAAGAATTGTTTCACATGTGCTGCTTGTCATCAAAGTTTGGCCGGCAAACAGTTCTGTATCAAAGATAATGGTTATTATTGTCCTGAACACGTTTAAGAATAAATGACTACAATGTTTTGTTTCAAATAAAGACAAATTTCACAAATTAATGTAAGTGGCTACATGGTAAATTTTTGTGTTGCTTTCTATGAAAAATAGTGTTTAAATTTTATGTAAAAATTATCATTTTAAAATGACATAATTGACAGAAACAAAACCATGAACTAGCAGAGATGGATAGTGGCTAGCAGTGGAATCCAGGACGCGCGTTTCGTCCTATTTGGGACTCGTCAGCTGGATGTACCTGCATCTCAGAGTTGATGTTCACTCTGGGATTCGAACCCAGTACCCTAGCTTCAAACGCCATTGCGTTATCCACTCGGCCACTGAGTCCTGATAGCCACTTGCTTGTGCGATGGAATGAAGTTTAAATACAACTTAGTATTGTTTGTTTGAATCTTCCCATCGATTTGTTAGGACTGCAACTGGTCAGTCTCTAATTGGCATATGTGCATATACCTTAAGATATATCGAGGCAATACGCACAGTTGAATTAAAACCATGAACTGTTTTTATGAAACTGAAACTATGAGATCTGACACTCTGTGTATGAATTAGTATCTCTAATATGGCTTGTGTCATAGAACGTTCATAACGTCTTGCTTATTCAAATGAACGTGACAAATTAAGTGTTTACATATAGTGTATTCGACGGTCTTAGAATGCTTTCATGCTGTTGAGTGATATTTAAGGATAAAAATGTAATCAGTAAATAAATCGTAGCATCATTCTTTTAAATCTTAGCTTCTCTGTATGTGGTAATTAAGCTATATAGAATGAATGTTCATTTACAAAGAAATCATTTAGACAAGATTCGCTCCATGAAGTATTATTCAGATCATGTTACTATAGTAGATTGTAGTATATTTCGTCGTAAAGTACGCATAAACTATTTATATTTGTATGGCTTCACCAAAAATTTGTATCTTGTGTACCAGACTGCTTCAAATGTATTTATTCTTCAGTGTACAAACTCTTAATGATAAATATTTAATATAAATGAAAATAATGTTAAATCACAAGATGAACTTATGAATGAATGCTGATAGTATCTGTTATGATTTGGCATTTATTCGAAATTCACTAAAATCTATGGATCATTTAACAGATGTTTCATATTACAATGAAACTGTTTATCAACGAATGCAACTATGCCTCATTTGAAATCTAAACGGGGATGTTTACTATCTCATTAAAAATAATATAAAAGGTATTCTAGTAAAATGGGCTGTAATTCCACTTCCTTTGACCTAAAAACGAACGAAAATAGTTAATTAATTGATCAATTAATGAATTAATTAAATTAATAATTCGTAAAGTCTCAAAAGAAACTTTCCATGAAAACTTGCACATTTTCTAAAATGTGTACACATTTTCACATAAAAATAAACAAGTCATTAAAAATGAACCTGGATTATTTTGCATTTCTTCTAATATGGAAATTATGGGATTTCTTGTGAAGTAAACAAATCCAACGATTTATTATAAAAAGTAAATATATAATTTACCTATAAATAAGTTTTATTTTGATAATTTCTAAGTCAGTCGTTTCTTTAATGAGTTCTATACTTCTGATAATCTTTGTAGTTTTGCTATACAATCCGAATCCTTATTAATATATCTTAATTAATGATTAGTGTCATCCAGTGTAGTGATGGAGAACACAAGTGGGGATAATCGAATGTATTGCAGTGAAAAGTTACAGAACATTTTGGTAAAGTCTGCGAACCATACAACAAATATTTAATTTGCAAAATGTTAATGAATTGTCTCGAACTTGACTGTTACTTTTGCAAATATCAGTCGATCGTCTCAGACTTACCAGCGAGATTGACTAAGGTCTTAAACAGAATCTGGGAACTGGACGTAATTCCATCTGACTGGTCCCAATCACTTATTGTGCCAGTCTATATGGAAGGACAAAAGTCCTCCTGTGACAATCACAGAGGGATCGGTTTGACTAATATAGTGTCCAAAATATTAGCTTCAATAATACTAGGACGCCTGAACAAAGCTTGTGAAGAGCAGACTAGAAAAAACCAGGCTGGTTTTCGACCTGGACGTGGTTGCATAGACCAGATATTCACCCTACGTCAGGTCCTAGAACATAGACACAAATTCAGACGTCCCACAATAGTAGTATTTCTTGACCTTAAGGCGGCATTTGAATCCGTTGATCGTGAAGTGCTATGGCGGTGTTTGTCACTGAAAGGAGTACCAAAGAAGTACATTAACCTCATAAAGGCTCTCTACTCGAACACAACTGATCGAGTTAGAGTCTATGGCGAACTGTCATCAGAATTGATTACCTCAAGTGGTGTTCATCAGGGCTGTCCACTCTCTTCATTCTTGTTTAACTTTATCGTAGATGTGCTTTTAGAAATAACACTTTCCTCATCCAAATTTAGAGGGGTTGAACTTCTACCAGAAGATTTACTTATTGACTTAGAATATGCCAATGACATAGTTTTATTTGGTGAAGACGCTGAAAAAATGCAGTCTTCTGACCACTATAAGCAACAACGCAGGCATGTTCGGGATGTGATTCTCTCCCTCGAAGTGCGAAATCTTAATTCAGGATTGGGTTGCATCGACACCTGAACTAATGATAGGGAGTGAAGTAGTTGAGCGTGTAGACCACTTCACTTATCTTGAGAGTCTCATCAGCCCTTGTGGTCTGGTGTGTGACGAAATCTCAGCACGGATACAGAAGGCTCGTCTAGCTTTCGCCAACTTGCGTCATGTATGGCGTAGGCGAGATATCCGTCTAGCAACCAAAGAACGCATTTATTGTGCAGCAGTTCGTTCCGTCCTACTTTATGGCAGTGAAACATGGCCGATAAGAGTAGAGGATGTTCGTAGGCTACTAGTGTTTGATCATAAGTGTCTTCGAAGTATTGCTCGTATATCCTGGGACCACCGAGTAAGCAATGTAGTTGTTAGGAAACGGGCACTAGGTAAGGATGGCAAGTCCATTGACGAATTGGTGAAAATTCATCAGTTGAGATGGCTGGGTCACGTGTTACGTATGTCCGACTGCCGACTGCCTCGATGTACAGTGTTTTATGGTGTAGGAGTACGTTTGAAGAAAGATAGGGGCGGCCAGACCAAAACGTGGCACAAATCCATGAAGTCACTGACAATCGGACTGAGACATGTTGGTAGGTGTAGACTACCTGGTTGGGACTCGCGAGATGATAGCAACCTGTGGTTAGAGACCTTGAATGACATGGCTCAAAATCGTTTGCAATGGAGCCGGGGCATCCATTGTTTGTGTTCTCCCAAATTCTAATCTTCTGAATTCTTCATGTTTCTATCTTTTTTCTCATTCTAAATTTATTTCACTGGATTATACCCCTTGAATAACATCTTTAAACCCTAATCTTTCCGATTACTGCTTATACTTTTGCTACCTCTGTCACTATAGATTTGAATCGACAACTACATCTCTGTGCTAATGTGGTATGGCAACTCGAACTGATGTACATACGTACGAAGTTCTACGTTGCAACTGACTGACTGAGACTTAACTGTTCCCACATTTCCATACCAACAGCTTTCTTTCACCGTTTTTTCTCCTCGATCTTCTTGACCTTCCACTGGCTTGCAGTCTATTCCTGACTAGCGTTATATACTACTTATATCGATATATGTAGCACACACCACATCAGTTTTTTAATGTTAAAACATAATACTTTTGTCTGAATGTGTATTAGTTACGCGAGCTTTATCATATACGGCTGTATTGTTCTGATCATTAATCGATTAATAAAACAATCAAGTCTCTAAACAGTTGAACAGAATATTTAATCCCATTAAATTCACGCTCATTTAGAGATTTCAACTAGTATATTCGCTAGATTATAATTATTGACTATTATTTTCTAATCTTAACGTGAAAAGAATGTCAAAGTCATCTATTGTTGACATTTCCCAGATAACACTGAAGATACAAAGGTATCTAAGTAGTAAGTTTTAAATCTATGGGGAATTATACATTTTAGTTATGTCATACAAAACCACAGTAACAGACAGAAATGTTAAACCGGTACATTTTTAAAATTCCCTGTATCAATTATTACCATTTGAAATATTTCTATTTTAAATGTTAAATGAACCAAACAATTAACTGCCTATTAACTACTTAATATCAGAGGGGTTTAATAGATATTATAGTAATTTTACATAAATGAAATCATGAGTCAATTAGAGCCAAACCACAATGGAAGACCCGAAAGCAATGGACGACCACTTCGTCCTATTGTGGGACTCCTCAGCAGTGAGCATCCACAATACCGCCTTTCGAGATTCGAACCCTAGACCTATCAATTTTACGTGAAAGAGCTTAACCTCGAATCTCGCAAGGTGGGATCGTGGCTGCGCAGTGCTGAGGAGTCCCACAATAGGACGAAACGGCTGTCCAGTACTTCCAGGTTTTCCATGGTGGTCTAGATTTAATTGATTCATGATCTCAACTGTTAAAATAATTATTAACTATTTCATTAATATTTTCATATAATTAAACCCATAATTCATTGTTTCTTTATTTTATTAATTTTAGAAGAATTTCAAAATTGTTCTTCATTTGAAATGATTATTTCTCGAATTCATTTTCTCATTTTTGTGATTATTCTCTTGCAACAAAAAAATTATTTATCTTATATATTGTTAATTCAATATAATTTATATTTCACATTTTACGTATTTGAAATGAAATCAAAAAGATGAAAATATTTGATGTCAAAAATATTTGACCCTATTATTACGTAATAAATCAATTAACATGATATTACATTATTGATTACTTATATTATTGTTTACACCTTTTAAAAATGTGTAAACTAACCTTCTGGCACATTTACAATTTTCACCAATTATCTTTGTTATTTTCAAAAAAAGGTAGAAACTCCAACAAGTTTTCATTGATTTTTTATTGGTTAAAGTAGTTGAATTTTATGTTAATTTGAATTGATTTCTGTTTTTTTCTTAATTATCTAATATACTACTTATATACTAATAATATAGTCCGTCAGCAGAGAGACTAATTATCAATTGTAAACATTGTTTTGGTTACTGGTTATTTAAAAAAATTCAATGTTCTTTTAATAACTTATCTTCAATAAACAACGTATCCATTATAAATAAATGATTTAAAACAAAGCTCTTAAGTCATACCAAGAAATGGATATCAACATTAGCATAGTTTTTAATGAAATACACACAAATCAAGCTGGATACATAAACAAATTCTCGATTATTAAATCTGTTTTCTAAACAGCTATGATTTTATTTTGTACATCGAAAAGAAGAAAGCATAAAACATTAGTAAACGTTTATTGAAGTTACCAACTGAGTTTGTTTTTTTGTTTGTTTGTTTTTGGTTTCTGCTAACGTTTTAAATTTTTCTTCTCAATTTTATGCCTTTGATTTATAAGAAATAAAAATTTTAAAAAATCAAAAGAATGAAATTATTCAAGCAATCTATTTATAGTGTATTCACTACTAACAATCATTGTTACTATGATATTTGAATAGCAAGTATACAGTTAATTGTTTCTGAAAGTATGTTTAATTTCATGTAATACTAATTACATAATATGTAAGTCAAAAAATAATTGCATAATCATGTAGTTAGAATTTACTTGGTATTGTTTGTTTGAATATTCTCATTGATTTTTAGGACCGCAAACAATATCATGTGAATTCAAACTTCACCCCATTGCACAAGCAAGTGGTTATTAGGACTCAGTAGATGAGTGGATAACACGATGGTGTTAGAAGCGAAAGGTACTGGGTTCAAGACCCAGAGTGAACATCAACTCTGAGATGTACGTACATCCAGCTGACGAGTCACAAATGGGAGGAAACGCGCGTTCTGGATTTCACTGCTAGCCACTATCCATCTTTGTTTATAAGTATGTGGTTAGTTGAAGATTATCAGTTTATGTAACTTGTATTCATAAAAAGAATTGGTCTACAAAAATTAAGCACTTTGAGTTGAAAGTTCTTTTTTAAAATGTGAAAACTTTAGATGTTAATAGTTGGTAGTTTAAGTGGAGTTTTGTTCACTGAGCTGAATAGTTTGATGATGGAGCTACACTAGACTACATAATACCTGTAACAAACAAGTACTATAATAAAAATTTTATATTTTTTTGTAATAATTAACAGGAAGTAAAAACGTTTTCAGTTTCATTTTTAACATAAACTACTAGACAATAAAATGACTAGTGATAAAGTTTTTCTATTAAAAGAACTGTTGTTATATACTTCAGGAAATATGAAGACCAGTAAGTAAGTTCTCAATAGTCTAAGTCTACATTATAGCAAATTAAAAAAATAAAACTTCCCGTAAAATGTTTTTAAGCTGAATGTTATAGAACTTATTAAACTGTCATTTAATTAACTAAACAAGATTTCATAATTATTGGACATTTCTATAAACTAAGTAAACTTCTCATTAAATTAGCTCATTCTGTAATTCAATTGTTCAAGAATGGAATATTATTTAAATGATGTGAGAACAGAGTTAACCAAATAAAGTCAGTATAGTAACTACAAAAAAAACACAGTGGTGAATGCTTTTTTAGAATAAGTTCTACTATAAATCTTTTCTGTCCTACTAATAACAGATGAACATCATTTCAAATGATGTGGTGATCGACATGACTCAGTTACAGTTAGTTAAATATATAACACATTAGCTAGTCTTCTCAATAGTGATGTTCTGATTTCATGTCTGATGTTATAAACCTAGGAGATAGATATTTAAAGTTGTTATCTTGAGAAAATTAACTCTTGTAAGTCATTCATTTGGATATTGGAATCCACTATTCACTCTGATAAATTCAATATCGGACTAACTTAAAGACGATTTTTATCCCATACGATTGTGACATTTGTAGTTTGGTGTCAATCAATTAGTTACAATCTTTTAATTTATAATAATTCATATCATCACGATAGACATTATATTTCAATCATTCAGTCGAACATTCGCATTCAAGGACTGTTATCAGATTGGAAGCTATTAAAAATCTAAACCAAACTCAACGGGTATTTGAATTTCTTCAGTTGTGTACATCTACTACTGTACAATGAATTAAAACAACCAGGTTATTGCTGGCATTAAAAAAACAGATTATATATTTTCATTATTGGAAAATAGTAACTGATCTTAGTTACATTCAACTGGTTTACTTTACAATTCAATAACATGTATCATTTAAAGAAAACAGATGACTGTTATGTAACTATTAAGCCAGGGTTTAGAAAATGTTAAACTTGAAAAACTGCATATTCACTTACAAATTCCAAAAATATAGTATCACAGGCCCAATACGAATCGTTCATGTCAATGAAATGTAAATTACGTAGGAGGTTTTTATTGTATTTCTCGTTTTTTTTCAAAAAGAAACAAATAATTTTATTCGAATACATGAATTTGTACAAATATCAACATCTTTTAAACTACTGGTCATATAATGTAGTTGAAAAAAAGAGTACTGTAGATAAGTTGAAATGGAAATTGCAATTTACTACCATTACATAAATGTTAAATATATTTTTGGTTCCAAAGTCTTTGATATTTATGAAATAATAATTCCCTGAAATGAATATAACAGATAAATTAAAAATTTAGGACGAGAATCTATTATAGATACACAAACCTGTTCCTGTCTAACCCATGACATGTTTTTATGAATTCTGTTCAACAGAAAAAGCTTGGACTAGATTGCCAGGCGAAACGTTGAATTTACTTCAAATTCATTCGCTGAAGTTTTACAAATATATTCTTTCTATTTAATGTCTCACCTCAACTCGGCGCCCAAATAGCGTGAAACTATTCGTTCTAATTTAGACGGAAGTTCTTATATAGAGTGGAATAGTGCGGAAATTCAAGATTTAGATATAAAATAAATAAAAATTCGGGATTCCGATCTATTATGAATCATATCTTTTAACGTCCACAAAACTTTATCACAATTATAATAGAAAGTTTAACCAAAGTTTTATTCTATCAACTTTTATTGATCGGAGTAGATACTATATTTTATTTTGACTGACGCTGTGCCGATCGGCATGAGAATCCATGGGAAAAAACCAAACTTCGTTTGTGAAAGCACATAGTATTATCTCTCCAAATAACTTTTCTAACTGAAACACTATTCCCAACCTCACAGACAAAGATTTTCCGTTACATTTGAAACCTATTTATGTTCTCTTACTTCATGCGTCATGTTTTAAAATCATAAGGCAATGCAAATGGAGCAGAAACACAGAATATTCACTATTTGATATCCAAATAAGTTTTCTACGAAAATCTATGCATCTGTGATATGATTTCGTTAAACACTAGTTCAATATAGCTGAGAAAATTGCCGCTAAAACAAACGGCTGGTGAGTTTCACCCTAATTTACACTAACTGTCTGTCAAACTGATTTCCTTCAATTGTTGTTGATAGGTTTCGTCTGACTATTCAGTTAGTGCCAAGGATGTCAATAAACAGGAAATCACAGGCCAAAGGTTTTTTCACTAGCCAAGATATATTTATAATAAAGCTACTAATTTTATTGTTATCATGAAATAACCAACGTTTGATAACTACTGAAAATCTGAGAACACTGGACGACCATTTCGTCATAGTATGGGAATCCCCCACCTGTGTGCACTCACGATCTCTCACGCAGCAATCAAAATTAGGAATTTCGGTCCCTCGCACAAACGTCTGAACTCTAGACCATTGAGAAGTCATGACTAATGTCAATACATCCACGATATTGCATAGCTATCTTCGATAGCTGTCTTACAGCGAACGCTGGTAATCTAACATTGATTGATTCATGGTCGCAATAAAAACTTAATATCTACACGACCCTAGATTATTGGTTTTCATACGCTTTGGTCTAAATTTAATGACAGCAATTAAGCAACTACTTCTTTCATTAGGAAACATAAATGACAATACCATATTTTGTATCCAACTACCATACCACATGAAATTTTTTTTAAAACTAAAAGGTCATTTAACAATCACAACTTCAATTCGCTAGATTCAAGATATGCTTAAAAATATCTTATATAAATCAACAGATATTCTCTAAACAAAAAAATGACATTCCGACATTTAAGGTTCATATTTCACTAAAAATCAGTTGAATAGTATCAAAACAACCTAAATACCCTAGTTCATACCATAATTGTTTTAACAAAAAAAAAGATTTAAAAAATCTCTAGCTAATGACAAATTGAAAATGTATCAAAATTCCCCACAATATCTGTAAACTGGGTAGATCGAAAAACAGATTACCTAGACATAATGACTAAAAGTTATTTCAATGATTTATTATTGTTACTTGTTCCTTCAAGTATTTACATTTCGTAGAATAATAATAACACTGTTCTAATATACTGACAAATTACCAAAAAATGTAAACATTCAACACACATATCTTAGTGTAAAAAATTTGTTTCTGTCGTAGATTTGAAATCGTATTTTAAGCAACTAATTCAGTCATTCAAAACCTTAACAAAAATTGTTGTATATGCTAATCTTCCATGTTCTGTAGAAAAGTGTTACCTTATTATTAGTT